GTAGGTCGACCGGGGCCGCTATGGCATCCTCGACGTTGGCCATGAGCTGTTTCTGTGCTTCTAAAGCAGTCCCATTACCGATGATGCCGGAACACGTTTGCGCCTGCGCACCCACCAGCGCCCACACGTACGTTCGAATCGAGTCGTTCAAGCGTTCGATGACGGCATGAGTGAACCCTCTCGACGTGTCCAGCATGAACTTTTTCCAGTCATCCGCGGGTCCCTTATCGAACCCCATGATCTGGTAATCCTTGTTGGTGTCGAAAGACATGAGTTTATCGTTCCACTCGTTTGTCGTGACATAAGAACCTGCATAAAATTTATCACCCCATTCTTTCAACCTCTTGCTGGCTTCCACGAGGGGCATTTTGCGAACGATGGGGATACCCAACCCATGGTTCGGGCCTGCCAAACGCCAATCCGTCTTCGGGTCTATTTTTAATTCATTGCAAACGTTTTCGTAGGCCCGTCGATCGTACGGGTTGTTTAATGCATCCCGCCCTGTGTCCTGTGGGAACGGGGCGCTGATCTCTTTGAGGATACGCCTGACATGGTAGTATATGTGGAACGTGAACAAAGACCTACTCAGCGCATCACGCCTAGTGTCGATCAACGTCAAGCCGCACCCAGTCGTCGCGCACAAGACGGCAAAGTTGAGTTGATTCTGCCAGAACTGCATAGGGTTGTTGAACCAATCGTGGACTGTCTTGTCATGCTTCACCGAAACCCTAAAGTATACTTTTCAAACACATCGATGAACTGGGCTCCCGAAATGCAACCCAGCCACGTCGGCCACGATCTTCATGTTCGCTTTTAGAATAAAACACTCCCAGTTTGTACATTTTAAAATTATTATATAATGGGTATATATACTTTAATATGTACGTGACACTTCCAGGAATAACGAGCGGTGAGTCCGTTCAACTGATGCACGTGATCAATAACACGTCAGGTCAACTTGAAGTCGCACTCTGCGATATCACCTACTACCCGCGATGGACCAACATCAACGGCAAAAACAACAGCCTGTTCGTCAATGATAAACGTAACCAAATAACGGACGGCTACTACAGTGTATGCTCGCTCAGCGATGAAGTCTTCGAACCCGTGGGTGTCGAACTCAAAATTAACGACTCGAACGGCACGGTCGTGTTAACTAACAACGGAAGAAACGTCTTGAGACTCATTCAGCAGTTGGCTAAAACGCTCGGGTTTACGTCGAACGACATACCACCGGAAACCACCGTAACCGGCACGAAATTACCCGATCTTGTTCCATTCCGTTCCTTTCTTGGAAACCAGGCACAATTACCAACGTTGCAGTATCGTTGAACAGACAGGATCGTCCCTCTTAAGAAGTTTCGAGGGGGTCCGTGTTTTGGTCCAAGATATGCCTCTTAGTGTCACAGGGATTGCCGTGGATGAAAATCTAAACCTTATCAGCCTCAAATACATTGATAAGAAATCAACGAAAAACCAATTAGATTTTATCTTATAATATATAATACACAAACACAGGATGGGACTGTACCCAGTCGTAGAAGAAGTAGCGAAAACACTGGAAACCGTAGACGGATTTCGGTTGAGGCAGATGTGTGACGTAACACGCCAACTAGAACAAGATCGTGATATACGGGCGTCATTAAGTAAGAAATACCATAAAGCTTTCAATTTCGTGGATGGGGCTGATACCACCCTTATTGTCATATCTTCCTACGAACCTCTGTTCTAATACGGCCATATTTCCCGGTTCTCGTAAAATCCCCTAGCGGGAAAAGATCGCAACACGAATTATCTCCCTTCTTTCTATCCAATCAGAACACGTGTTACATCGACTTAGATTTAACTTGACTAACACGAGCAAATGTGGGGCCACAAATATCCCACATCTGCCGGGGACTTGTGTTGATGTTACACGCAATACGTTTAATGGCTAGCTTTCCCGTTGTCAACGAGGGCGATGGAGAGGCCACTGATCCGCCATAACATGACTGAGTTCTGTCTAGAAGAAACGTTTGCGCATCGCGCAGGGAAAGAAGTTTAGTTTTCTCGAAGCATACGGAAATTACCGAGGCCTTGCGAATGATCATTATTGAAACAACGTCGCTGATTGCACAACTGAATCTGATTGCCTCCAATCACGAGTCTTGAACGCTCACACCATGAAAGGGCCGTATTAGAACAGAGGTTACGTAGGAAGATATGACAGGAGTAACCTCTGTGGGAAGAGAATGCCCTTATGGCAACCAGCATGGAATTAGGAGCAGTAGGTGTCGGTTTGTTGACCACCATCGTAGCCGCACCCATAGTGCTGGGTATTGTAATAAGAGCTGGAGTGTCAGGGTTGGTGGGGTTGGTGTTTAAATTTGCATTGAAACACGACGAAATCAGAATTCTGTCCGAAGCAAAGTTACACCATATTTCCACCTCACTCACTGACAATAAAATCTCAGAAGAAGAATTTCGTTTGGTGCTCTCTGAACTCGCAAAATATCACAGAATGAAACAAGAGATTCAAACCAAGTCTCGTAAAAACACTGTCATCAGCGAGGACGAGAAAAAACAGTTCATAGAACAAGGGATACAACAAGCCCAACAAGCTTTCATTACGAAAACCAAAGAAATCATAGGAGATTCACATTAAATTGTTTCGCTGAGATCAACATAGCCGAGTGACCAGGAAAGTGTTGGCTCGCGGTCATAGTGACCAGGAAGTTGGCTGGGGATTCAAAAGTGATATGCACACTAGCGGAAAGAGATTAGGGCCTGATAAAAGCTTTATTTGATAAATAAAGCTTTACAATGGCTTTTTGTCAGACTTTATCTCGTACCCCCAAAATGCTGACGATACCATACACTGAACGACTGTGCAAATATTGCTTTGAAAATGGAAGATCTGTTAGTGAAAGATGCCTTTCTAAGCTCTAAGAAGTATAATCTGTAACAGTATTTCAAGTGCAAACGTCTTCGATCGAGCATATTTTACCTGAAAACGTTGATGTTCTGTATAGCTCATGTCTATATTTATATATAGTCCAAGTGCGAAGAGAAACCTTATCGATTACTTTACTGACATGCAACTCATGTATTACTGCCTTTATACAAAAGAAATTATCCAAATATAATATGATGTCTTCATTTCAGGCGTAAACCGGATGATAAAACAGTGTAAATACAGCTCTTGATGCGTGTGATCGGTACAGACAAAATAAAATCACACAAAACAAATGGCCGAGTCTTTAATATTAACGGCAAATCTGCACTTTCTGAACACTACAGTAGAAGTAGACACACCGCTTGTCTGTTCTCTGAACCATATCTCTCATTCTAACCATGGCAGTTTATCTTAGAAACTTTACTTCCTTTGTTTCTTAATATTCCTATTTGTGTGTCATAAGCTAACAAAGTTACGGGTGTTTGATGCAACACTACTATTGTTTCTCTATATCCCCTTCTTAAATAGACTGCCAGCTTTCCCATTTGGCCAATGTCCGCATAATTCAATTGCATTGTGTATATGATAGAGTGGTATTTATGAGACACTTGAAGGAAGATAACTCTCTCTTTTAACAAAGCTTCAATTGCAGTTGGAAGATTGTCTGCATCACTTGAAATACCGAAATACACTTATGATTTAACAAAACCCACTTCACTGGCGTAAGCAGATCACGCCCCATCACCACCAGCCACCCCACTACTGTCCAAATCCAAACGAAAAACTCGTTGAATCACGAAGCAAACAAACATAATCGATTGTGACGTTGTGTGTTGGGGCAAGATAGACCCGCGCAACTCACAGCATGCTCTATATGTATAGTCACAACATACTCATTTCACTTCCCTGTTCATACCTGAGACCTGGTCGTCCTCGAGGGACGTTTACTCGTGCATTTAACCATCAGTAACACCTAGCGATCTGTTGACGTTAGTCGGTTCGTCATTTCATCGTGCTGGTTAAAACAGTAACTTCTTTGGGTTTGTTCAGACTATTTAACACATCCACTTACATAGAGTCTACTGTTTGCCTATGTGATATAGATACGACAGTAGGTTTATGTTTTGGAGTACCTAATGGATTCACAGGTACGAACATAGATGAAGACGACCTGACAGCGTGAATATATACAAGCAGTCTAGTCATAAATTGGCGAATGTTGTTTAAATTTCCTGTGCGTTAGATGGTGGATGTGCGTGAATTTCAACGAGGAAAACTGCTACATATTGAATAGGAATCTAACAGTTTAACGGCATGCCTGAATAGAGACGACATGTTCTGTATCCACGGACGTACAGAAAGCACGCATTGAACTCCTGATGACTGAGATCTAAGAGCCATGCATGTTGAAAGGGTGTTTGTGATCTGTCTACATTTCTTCTCGGTTGTATATGGTGAGTAATGGTACAGACAAACGTGTCTTTGTATCTGTATTTCAGTAGGTGTAATGTGATTATTTCATCATAATTCCGGTTGCCGTATGATTTTATATCGCATTATGTACGCGTGATTTGTTGTGACTGACGCGCAAATGTCAGAAGCCTTTCATGCCACTGGATTTTAAAGCTCACAAGCCATTTTAAACATTACCTGTGGTATGATACATACCTTTGAGACACCTCCAAATCAGACTTAGACTCAGACTGTGTACAAATACACACTGATAGTTGATCACATTTAAGACAACATTACACCTTTCTGCAGCGTTAAAGCAATGTGAAATATGCATTGTTTATCTATCAGCATATATACGCACTAGTTTTGTGAATTGAAGGATACTGTACATGAACCGTTTCATACAATATATTAAAACATTATAATGTTATATATATTATGTCTTATTTGAGTCACACAGAGTTTCATGCCTTAAAGATGAAACTACATCTTTGCTTCAAAACTTCTCTAATATTTCAAAACAAATATGGTTTTACCGTCAATTGGACCAATATATTCAAGTATATTTTGTCAAGTATGTTTGACTGAACGAGTTTCAATATATTCAAAGGTGTCAGGACTGGAAACAGGTGTGTAGAGGATTTGACAAAAGTCTTTGCAGTACAGCTTCAGTGTTCTGGCGGTGAATGGATACAAGTCTTGCACGAGGTGTATGGGGATGGAGATGCAGCGACATGTCGTCTGAAATCTGCTGAGTCGTGTAGTAAGAAACTCGACAGCAGCCAGTCTGGCCTGGTCGTCAACTGTAATGGGAAACAGTCATGTTCTGAAGCCATGCAGGTACAGACCATCAACAACTGTAATATTACCGCTGCTGTTGTTGAAGTAAAGTACAACTGTATCAAAGGTGAGACTTCAATATGGTATACCTGTATCAAAGGTGATCATTGGACAAACCTGTAGTAGATCTAGGTATAAACACTGATTTCTTTAATATCAGCCACTGAGTCCATTATAGACATATTATTGTAAATATTTACCATGAACGTCATAAACGAATGTGTAGATGCTGGATGCACAGCCGGATAGCAACTGCAGTATTACCGATGCTGATCAGTGCTGAAGTAAAGAACTACTGTATCAAAGGAAACTTTGGTCGTTGACGGGACATGACCTGACTGTCAGTAAGACACAACTTAGGAATGACGGTATTTCTTCCCCTCATCAAGTGCAATCTTTTAGCGAAAAACGTGTGTCGCCAGTGGGCTTACGAACGATATCTTCGTCGACATGAACAAATCTTTATGAAAGTAACCAGAATTATTTATTTACTAATAATGTCCCCATTTATGAAATATTTGGTTGATTTGGTACGTGTCATGTTATTGTCTGGATTATGCGCATGTGTGACACGAAAATATAGAAACAAACCCTGTCGATGAAGGCGATGCTAGTACTTGTCTCGGTGAAGCATATATATGCTCGAGCTGGTCCCAGGTGGATCATTTCGTTGTCTTGGAATATGCACATGCATTTCAGAAGTCGAGATGCCAAAGAACAAGAAGCACCTGTGAAAGACTCAAGGAACATACTTAACGTGGATCTCGCATAACTTACGTCGAGGTCGAAAACCATTTCAGCGATTAGACACCAGGTCCTCGTGATTTAACCCATACTAAGTACTACATCAAACTGACAACATCAACAAGGAATGATCTTAATAATGTCAGTCCATGATTCATTTTACCTACATGTATGAGTCAATATTCAAACCCAGTAGTCATTTATGCATTGTGTTACTGTTTCCGTAACTTTTGATCACTAGCTCTTTACCATATTGCGGACCATGGTATACTGCGTTTTCTATCAAGGCTTTGATTGTCACGTTAGGTGTTTGTCATTCTCACACATTTGGTCTCGACGTGCATGTCATCTCACCTCATACACAGCACTCATGTTATTGTAAGCTAAGCTCACAATATACTGATAATTACAGAACGCTACCAGGCTTGAATATTATTGACCTTTTATGAATATCGACTTTTGTATGGTGTCACAGCCGTGTTAGTCAACCAGATTTGCCACTTCCTACTTCTTGTGGATGGAGATTCGGCGAAGGAAAATGAAACAAAAAGTACATAAAATTATAGTAACCATGGAGACGCCTTAAAGGGCATGCTTTCTATAATTTACATTTTCAGAAAGTTCATTCTATCGTTTCTTACGATACGAAATGCATGGTCCTGTACGTATAATGCACGCATCAGTTGAGAAAAATGCAACATTAATTATATTGACTTCTGAGCAAAAACAGTTACAATTCGACTGTTGTGACCTTGACCTGTGCCCTTGACGTGTTACATGTATTGAAGAAGCAATGCTTGTGGTATCAGAAACATTCAGAGCGTTGACTAAATATAGGTAAATTGTGATGACTTAGTCATATATATATAGCAGAAGCGGTCTTTCTAAAATCGTATGGTTACCATGGAAACAACCCAAAATGACATGTTGCCTGACACTTTCAACTAGAGATTCAGAGCTTTCCAAAGATTCATCTAGCTATACCTCCGGTAGACGTCTTTCAATTTTTGACACCGAATACCATTGCTCTATAAGCAACCCATGCTTGTCATCATAATGAATACACAATACCATGTGTCAAAAGTAAGACATGCTACATTTGGGATTGCACTTTCTCAGTGAAGTACACTCAGATTCTAGTACATGTGTACCATTTGAGCACTTTTTAATGTCATTGTGTATTCAAAGCTGTCGGTTGATGGAGCCGTGCCTATTTACACTTGTCAGAGGGGTACACAAAGTCCGTGCTCTAGACTACAAGTTTTGGAAGCCGTGGTGGCTGAGTGGGCTGACTTTGTGTGCTGCCGATTAAGTGCTTGACTCAGAGAGTGTGGGTTCGAATCTGGGATGGGACTCAACCTAACAAAAGTACTAGAATCTGTACTGGAATCTGTCCAAATTATAACATGTGTTACGTTGTCATAAGAGGCGACGAACAGGATCGGGTGGTTTTACCTCAGAATTTCTTCTTAATTCATTAAACTGTGGGTATAAAAATGGAAAGTTATCGATCTCGCAAAACAGGGAAGAAATACTAAATCACTTCTATTACCTAAGCTTAACCATCTATTCTCATCTCTACCAAATCCTGAAAAATGTGTCAGGGAAAGACTGCAAAATAAGAGTTTTAATTTCATCTGGAAAAACAAACCTGATAAGATAAAGAGAGATTTAATGATGACCCAGAGCAGGGGGTATAAAAACTCCAAATATTAGAAAAAATATATACTCACTAGCATTGAAAACGCACCACTTACACAAGTTGAGATTACTTAAGCACACGTAAGCAATTGATAGTTTATTTAGTGGATGATAACAGTGGACGACTGACAAAAACAACAACACAGAGAAAACGCTCATTCATTTAGTTGTTTCACAGTCAGAAAGGATCAAACACATGTGGGGTCAAATCGAAAAGTCAATATTGCGTGTGACCGCTGTTTGCATTAACACATGCAGTGCAACGTCTCCTCATTCAGTCAACAAGCGTAAGAATAGTGTTCTGAGGGCTGGCATTCAACTCCTTCAGAAGTGCAGCCTCAAGTTCCCGGATGCTTCGCATCTGTTGTCGCCGAGAAAGACGTTGACCAATTTCGTCTCACAAGTGCACAAAAGAGGATAAATATGGGGACAGTGCTCGCCAATGAATTACCAGGATGTGTTGCTGGGCCAGATACTGCATGGAAAGACTAGCTGTGTATGCCCGTGCGTTGTCCTATTGAAAAGTATGGACATCTTGGTGGTGATTGACGAATGGCACGACGTAATTCTGAAAATATGGTCACGGTAGTAAGGGGCATTAACTTTCTCCTTGACAGACATGAAGGCAGTTCTGCGATTGTAACTTATGCCATCCCAGACCACGACACTCCCACCACCCCAACGGTCTGTCTGAACCACACACTCATCAGCATAACGTTCACCACGTCTACGCCAAACACATAATCGGCCGTCAGCATTACGTTGGTGCAAACGTGACTCGTCAGTGAATACTACACCATGCCATTGTTTTAACCTCCATTGAACATGTCTTTTAGCACATTGTATACGCTCATTACGGTGTCTGTCAGTCAGAATTGGTCCAATGTAATAACGTCGGGCATGGAGCCCGGCAGCGTGTAGACGGTGTTGCCCGGTGATCCCACGTCGACCTTGAACTAGTGCAGCAGCCCTGGCAACCGGCAGCGTTCGATCACGGACATGGTCATGGACAATATGGCGATTTTGACGGGGCGTCGTGACACGTTGTTGCCAAGGTCGTTGAAGGTCACGGATGCTGCCTGTCTGCTATGAAGCCTAACGATGGTGGAGTAGCTACATCCAATTCGTCGAGCAATATCCCTGCTGCTGGTGCCAGCCTGAATCATGCCTAGTGCACATTCTCTTTCCTGAGGTGTTATCCCCGGCATCTCTGTCCTCGTTTCACAATCGTTAGTAAAGCAATGAGAATCGATTCTCATACACCTGCTTTTAAGGTCACAGTCAGCATAATTTCAGAACGAAATTCAATTTTTCCATGGCGTGGATGCATGTTGTTGCGTTTTGGAGTTAAGATTCATATTGTGAACAGGAACTCGTTTCCAAAACATTTTTTCAACTGGACATGCCCTATGACTTCATGTTAGTCTTATTCATTGGCAATTGTCATGCAGAAATCCATCTTGATGAAAATATGGACTGGTGCGTTTTCAATGCTGGTCAGTATATCTTCACAAAAACTAAAATGCATTTAAAAGAATAAGCGGTCATGACCTCAAATGGACGTTTCTCTACACCAGTCAATTTAATATCAGGACTCTAATTTTTCTAACGGATAGTTACTTTATACAAAATGCAATAATGCACTCTTGATACTTTTTCAATAAAATCTAAATGTTTTAACGTATGAATCGATGAAAAGAGCCATTATAACAAATGCTCGAACACTGAATATAAAGAAATTTAAAAAGAAATGATGCGAACCCATCTATCCTTTTAATGTTTCAAAAACTGACACCATAATTTGGAGTAAAAAAACTATACGCCTCCCTCTTGAATTCAAAATTTGTTCGGTTGCCAAGCTTTTTAAAATGAGTTCTACAGAGTGGTTTTTCTGGAAATGACCGGAAATGTCTTAACGTTATTGCAAATAAATGTACGCGAAGCATACACTTGAAATGGATGCACTATAGAATTATTCACAATATTCTCCCAACAAGGCCATTACTTTATAAAACTGGATACACAGTTTCACCAATATGTCCATTTTGTGAACCAGAAAGAGACACTATCAACCATATGTTGTGGGAATGTGAATCTGTTTTTAAATTATGAAAAGAAATAGAATCATGGTTGAACTCAGTACAGTTACAACTGGAATTTACAAATAAAATCGTTATATTGGGAATGAAGGGAAAGAACAATAATCCTATTAATGAAATCATTTCAGTAGTCAAACAGTACATCTATAGATGCAGCATAAATAGTTTCAGACCAAAGTTAAAATATTTAAAAAAATGAAATAGTCCGTCACTATGACATGTCAAGATATGTTTACCTATGAACGGGAACTGAGCGATTGTTTTTTCAATATTTGTCAACTTTACATTTATTACTTGGAAAATAATCCTGCCAATTGTACATTTTCAGTCAAGTCAAGTCATATGTATACATGTATACATATACCATAATGTGATTGTATTATTATGAAACTTATCAATACATGTTTCCCTGTACCATGAAATATGAAAAGAACAACAACAAAACAAACAAACACAAAAAAAACCAAAACTTTGTCATCAGGAAGCTGTCAACTACTAATTCATATGCGAATTTTAAATAATTTGTTTTTACTTTGACTGTCTTTGAAGTTCATGCCAACTGTAATTTAGATTTTGACCTTAGTGTCGCCAGTAGGACAGAACATCCTAATCCTGGTAACAATACATATCAGTAACATTGACAGTAATTTATGAGCGTTGGTTCTTGAATTTGAGCTGCTAGTTCCCTCTCATAGCAACCTTGATCAACATGAAGCAAAAGCAAATTCGAACATGCGTGTGAGCAATTCTCTCTTCTCTTATGTGACCCATAACATATGTCTCAAATTTGAAACCCAATACAAACCTTCTCCTACTTGTCATATGCATTGTGTTTCAGGTAGTATGAACATGTGTAGTCCAGTCACAACAACAGTAAACGGGTCGGTGTACCTCCATTCTCCCGGCTTCCCTGACAGTGTCGGTGTGAACAGCAGCTGTGTTGTTAGGATCACAGGGCAGACTTTACAAGTAACATTGGTAGAGGAGCGGATGAAGTCAGGGATGCTTAACATCTCAGGTGACGGGAGACAACTCTGGACAAACGTGAACGTGAACCAGTACAACAGGGTATTACCTGGAACAGCTGCCGAAATAGTTATAGTCTACGATAACCATGATCAGGATGGATCAAATGTATGGATACGTGTTGCAGGTAGCAATCAATTAATACACTGATGCCAAAATCATATTTAGCGTACTGTATTCACAGTAATGTATTTTGCGTCCTATTCCTCCTTAACTGAATTACATATGGCCTTTCGTGGCTCTATTTTCTGCTGATTTCCCACCACTTGCAGAAATCGTATCTCTTAACGGTAAACACGTAACTCGGACTTAGAGACTGTTGTAACATTAACTTGTTCATAGGTTCAGGCCGAATGAACATAACGATCAGCAGAGAAATACTGGATGCATCAACCACACCTACGTCATCACATCAGCCGCCACGTTCACAGAGTGCATCAGGTCCAAGTACTTCGGACACACCAACAACTGAAACAACGACACGTGTACAATCTACATCTATTGGTGAGTGTACTCTGGCGTTTAATGGCCCTCGTTATACTTCAAATGTTTTCAGCTGCTTGCAGAGATATTTGCCCCCATACATGCAGTTGTACTGTTTTTGCCTGTGTGAGTGTGAACATCTCTGAAGGGCATGGTTCATTAACTTGTGTGGTCGACCGCTATTTGAGCATGTTTTCACTGCGGAGCATCATCAATGCATTTAAAGTAGCCTAAATAATGTATCTACACCTTTTCATGCAGGGATGCACCAGTTCATTTAACACATTTAAAAATGTCCTCGAAAAGATAATACAACACGTCACAATTTAATTCTGGACTCACAAAAGTCCAGAAACTCTCCGCACTGTGGGCACTTTCTGACAAGGGATTCGACCAAATAAAACATGCAGTTGTTATGAATAAATGCTAAGGATGAAAAAATGAAAAACGTTGTTTTCGAAAACTCAAAATTTAAACTCGCTCGCTCATGTTTAATTTCGCTCAGAATTCATGTCATATGAAAAAATCTCGCCCATGGGCGAAAAATATGTTGGCCCATGGGCGAGAATATTTACTTTTACTCAAAATACATGTTTTTCCATGTTTTGGTGGTTGTAAATGAACGAGTGTGTGTTTATAAGCATCATGACACAAATTTCAACTCATTTTGACTTAATTCAGCTAATTTAGAGCGATGTTAAAATATCTCGCCCATGGGCGGAAAACATTTTGGCCCATGGGCGAGAATATTTATTTTTACTCAAAATACATGTTTTCCGTGTTTTGACGGTTGTAAATGAATGAGTGTGTGTTTATGAGTATCATGACACAAATTTCAACTCATTTTGACTTAATTCGGCTAATTTAGAGCCATATTAAAAAATCTCGCACATTGGCGAAAAACATTTTGGCCAATGGGCGAGAATGTTTACTTTTACTCAAAAGACATGTTTTTGCATGTTTTGGAGGTTGTAAATGAATGAAAGTATGTTATAAGCATCAAGACACAAAATTCAGCTCATTTATACTTAATTCGGCTAATTTAGAGCGATATTATAAAATCTGCATTATTTACGGTAACATGGATTAGCTCATAATAATTGCCGGGAGACCCACATTCACACGATCACTCAACCATACCCATTGCCGGTTGAACCACACCATTTTCAACTCTTGTTTTCTTAAAAGTGGCTTTCCCGGGCTATAACTATCAGCACACCCCAATCCGACCATCTGTCATGAATTACCTGTCATGAACTTTCAGTTGTATTGAAAGCTCTCGCCTATTTGTTCATTACTAAATTGTTTCACGGATAGGTATGTCACTCCAAATTCACCATATGTGCGTGACTGTCCTCTCCGACGTCCGCGCCTACCTCTCAACCTAGCAATCTCGATCCACTTTCAGCTCACTATCAAGCCATCTATACCTTCACCTCTCTCTCCAACCACCTGTCTTCTCAGAGGTCCGCGCGCCTCTCTATTCCTTTATTATTTCACACCAACTTTACCTCCCAACAACTACTGTCTCCTCCGAGGTCCGCGCGCCTCCAGCCACCACCGACCCCCGCCACCTCTCAATCACCAACCATAACAAACTCCACGGTCAAGGCCGCCCATAGCCCCTCAGTCAAGGCCACTCAACCAAGCTTACTACTGCCTCTCAATTACTGCACTCGCTCAGCCTGCCTTGCCCCCCTCAATGCTTCCATACCACCCCCTCACCCCACCCCTGTTTAACCCCTTTTTCTTTCTTTACCCATTATTTAATTATAAACAGCTTCACTGTTTCCAAAACAAGCTCCCAATATGCTTCTTCCCCAACACACACACAGCACCCCTAACCAGCCCCATTTTATATCTATCTGTTTAGTTCTATTTCTCATCTCTTCTCATCTAATTAAATCAGACTACATTATTTTTTATTTTCCCTTCATAATCACGGCTTTTTATTAATTTATTATCATGTTTGTAGCCGTTTTCATTCCAAATTCACTTAAGTTAACACCCCATCATTTACATTTTTGGGGTATGGTGGTTTATCCCTAATTATAAACATATTAATTATTACTCTAGCTCCCACCTACCCCGTCGGGGTACATGTCATACCATCTAATTCATTTTAGATATCATCTTTTCTTGTCATGATACTGTTTCATATATCTATGTATATTGGAGCGGTCTTCATATAAGTTCTTTTAAGCTTGTTGACCAGTCCAGTTGATGAAAATTCTGTCGTTGCTTTTTCATGAAATAAATACGTTTAAACCACCTACCCCGTCGGCGACATTGGCTACAGCCAGAAGCCCACGTTAAACTCATAATCATCATCATAATTATGTAGTCACTAGGCACTTAAAACATTAGAAGCAATGCCATGGAACAAGTTACCTAACTACAGTATGACGTGATATTGTATAGTAGATGATTTGAGAATACAGAAGCACTGAAAAAGCATCGTTTTTTACCACCAAGGGCATAACACTGGTGACCCAGTTCAGGATCGAGTGATGACTGAAAATGACTGAAAATGCCGCTTCGCAACAATCTGCGAATGATCCAGAGTTCTACCATTTTTATGTGATATGGCTTCATAGAACAACACAAAGGTACTAGCTTGTGTTGGAAACTGTATCTGACATACTGCTTCAATGATACATTGATTCATGAAACAGAACAGAAATTACAGCAAGCTAAGCCTCAGTACAGGAGCTGATTTATTAATTTGTTAACGTACAACATGCGAAATGTGGCTCGTCAGTGGTATGCGTGTACGCACAGATAATATCAAAACATACACGTCGGAACAGTCAAAATTAAGAAATTGTTGAATATGAATTATTACTTTGTAATTCTTGTAACATAAACAGTATTGTGAGAGCTTTAACTGTATTGAAATATGTCTTGTCAATCCTATTATTCGCCAATAACCACTTCCAAATAAAATGGATAGTCTATGCTGCTTCAGAACAAATAAAGGTTAATTAGGGAGCCTCAAATGGGTAATTAAGGAAAGAAGTCATTACACTGTCACTTCCTGCCCAGGACGACACACGTCACCACTCAGGAACTCAGGGTCTTGTCAAACTTTCTCACAAAGGAAAAAAAGCATCAAAACTGTGACACTCGGTATGTCGTCATAGTATTCATTGTTGAATAAATTCTATCGTGGGCAAACCCCCACACTTTCCATTATGATTTATACACATTGTTTTGTACACAGTGTACATCACTATCTATGTAACTGTATTATTGTTATGGAGCGGCATTGATATGCATGTTTATGCTTGTTTGCAAATCCCGTCATGATTACTTGAAGAAAACATGTTTAAACTATACATTAAAATATCCATAGTATTAATATGTAATCTTTACATTAGGCTATGAGGAATACACACATGGGCGGATCCAGGAATTTTGAGAGGGGGGGAATTTTCCTGCCAACGCCAAACAATTTTTTTCGATGTGGTCTTAAGTCATTTTCAAAAGTCATTTTCGGCCGCCCCCCACTGACACAATATATTCAAGATTGAGATTGCTTTTAATTGTCAATATTTTTGCTACAACCGAAGAGATTTACCTTGACTTCGTTGTGTACAGGTCCGTGGTTGTGGTCTCTTGGTATTTTAGAATCTATGTCGTTAAGACAGTTGAGAGTGTTGATCTGTATGCAGTCTTTCTGCATGCATTTTCACGAGATCCATTTTCCTATTTTTCACTATGAACATATATCCACTTATACAAAGGTATCTTCCACAACGAAAGGTAGGGAAAACTTTCAAGTATAAGTTCCCAGTGCATTTGCCATAACTGGCAAATTCACTCACATTCTGGTACACGTGTCCTATTTCCTGAAAATATCCATAAAATATACACCGTGGCGGATAATAGAGTGAAGTTGAGTTAATCACAATTCGTTTTTACATTTGGTAGCTAGATTTTCAAAAATCTAGTGTCTTATTCCCGTAGTTAGAATATACATTAACACCGTCGTCAACAGACGGAGAACATCAAAGTCATTTTCTAAGAGTGTTGTACCAGCGTCCTGTTTGTATCGGTAAATTGTGATTTGATAACTTAAATCTAAGAATTGGATTATGTATAGATTTGGGAAGGAAGAGGTAGTTTTCAAAGCATAGATTGTCTTTAACGTTTTGGCAAAATTTTCCTTTCGAAGTAGACGCTAGTTCACATCGCCATTGTTGTAAATATTGATCTTTGAGTATTGTTTCTACTTTTGAAACCACCCCTGAGCTGGTGAACACAGTTCACCTTACCACTGTGCTGAGCTCGTGAACAGTTCACCTGCACTGACACTAATACGAGTGAGTGATTAAATTAATGATTGATGTTATGTTTAAACTGAACACATCACTTATCTCGTTGACATATCGGTCTGATAAAGTCAGAACAGAACTACACAGAAATAACATTGATGCAGTTGCAGGGTGGTGGTTGTGTGAGACCTAAGAAGAACAAGTATCGCCAGCTTGAAGAACGGCTAGACCGCGAGGATAGACAGCTGCAAGATGGTGTCGAGACTCCACTTGCTTACGGTGTGTCTCACCTTGTGGGACTATGAATAATGATGTATGCTTGTGATATTGTGTATAATGTGATATTTTGTAATAATGTATGTTTACTGATGGTAGTGCTAATATTGCCTAATGGTTGTATATCATAATACTGTTGATGCGATTGATGATGATGATAATATGTATGTTGAAATAAATGAATGAATGAAGTCACAATTTTATGGGCAGCCGAAATACCATGGACCATATTACACAGGGATCAACCTGCCCTGCACACTCATTCATGCGTGTCCTCTTATCCCAGGTAACCCCCTGCTGCCTGCTGGGGGTACACCGCCGAAACGCCGCTTACATTATAATAAAGAAGTTGTATATCCATATAACTTTCTCCGTTGTTCAAATTATCATGGTCTCAACGGATATTGCATTGTCATACGAACAGCCACGACTTTCAAGTATATTTTGCTTTCCATATATACAAATCTA